AGGCTTGTGGAAGCCGGTGGTGGCAGTTGGGCTCTGAGGGTTTTTCCTGAGGAGCTGTTTTGTTTGGCGTTTGTAGTTTTAAAAATAAAGTTTGTTTCTTTTGACAAGTGGCTCCTGAATTGTGCCCAGTCAGACTGCGGCACACAGGGAGGATGAGTTTTGGTAAATTAGCTTAAGATTGAGGAAAGAAGCTGCATTGGCTGAAGTACATGTACAGGTACACTTTCCTGAAAGTTTACATTCCATATTAAATTTTGAAAGCTACTTCTGTTCCTTCCTTTGGATCATTTCTGTGCATTTTAGATCACTTTCCTTTGGATCTTTTTTGTTGTTGTTCATTTTAAATCATTTTATATTTTTCTGAAAATGTGATGAGAAGAACATGTAATGTTACCTTGTTTCAATGATATTTATCCTAGATTTCACTTATATAATCCAGTTATCTTTATACACATATCATCTTAACTGTGTATTGTATCACTGTAATACCAAACTTTTCTCTTGGCAACAAAATTCTGCTAAGCTAAAATCAGGGTGTGTGTGTGTGTGTGTGTGTGTGTTCATGTATATGTCTGTAATTTTTGCCACTTCTATCCATAATTGTACAACACATTACAGAATTATGCACTGACTTTCAAGAATACATCTTTATGTTAAAATAGGTATTAAAACATTTTGGAGCCTTGAACAATAATTTGATGGCCTTTTCTGGAGCAATTGAAAAAAGGTGTACCTAGCCCACACTAGCTCACTGCAGAATTATTGTCAGAAGAAGAGAGGTGTTAGGACCAAGAGTGAATCTGAGTCAGAGTGTTTGTGTCTCATTTCCCAATCTGTATGTGTCACTGTGGAAATGGTTGCTGAACCACAGAGCACAGTAATATGTGGACTCATCCTCAGTCTGGGCCCCTATGATGGTGATGGCAGCCTTGTCTCCAAGCAGGGAACCTGAGAATCGGGCAGGGACTCCTGGAACCCGATTACTGGTGCCACCTATTACACCCTGAGGTACCTGGTAGGGCTTCTGTTGGATCCAGACTGCATAGTTACTCGTGGTGAAGGCACCAGTACTGGAGCCACAGGTGAGTGTGACTGTCCCTTCTGGAGTTGTGGTCAGTGAAGTTTCCTGAGTCACCACAGCCCAGGAAATGGAGCTTGAATACAGAGAGACCCAATGATCAGGAGAGGATTTGTGGCATGAATGTTGCCTTCCTCACCCCCAATTCCAGCCCAGAAAGTTCCCCCCTGACCTGTGCAGTGAGCCAGAAGTGTGAGCAGGAGAGGAGCCCAGGTCATGGTTTAGACAGGCCAGGGCTGAGCTTTTCAAGTCTGTTCATCACACAGGCAGCTCCACAGCTTTTATTATAACTCTTGACACCTGTTTGGTGGGGGATAGGGTGGAACTCTTATTTAAATGAGCTCCTCTCCAAGGGYAACTCAGCAAGTTCACAGCTACTGAGGTTCCATACACCAATGACCATTGTCCAGGTCCAGGGCGTGGAGGCCAATGTTCCAGGTTCCAGCTGCCATTTTATTATTTATTTATTTATTTGTTTGTTTTTAATAGATTGACCAACAGTGCCCTGGTATTTTCTAGAGGGCTTCAGCAATGGACTCTATACTCCATCAGGTCTTTCCCTATTTGTAACGAAAAGCCTTGTCTACATTGACTTCAGTGTAAAGGAGTGAATGAAAAAAGCATTACAAAATGACAGTGGATTACTAAATTAAACATGGGGAAGTGATTTGTGCTTCATTTATGTGTTCACCAAAAGAAGATGTCAGTGGTCATTGGAGAGGCAGTTGGGAGAAAACACTTATTGCTTCAAGACCAAGGTCCTTGCTCAGGGAACCTTGCTAGGCCAGAGAATACACAGCTGGTGAGTTCTAACCAGTGAGAAAGGGGCTCAGCTCTCACGCCAGGGATCCCTTCAACTGAACACTGTTTACTGAGCAGCTGGCAGTGTAGGAACCCCAGAGTAGTCCTGTACCTCCCTCTGCTGGTCACAGTTCATACACTAAGCCTGGCCTAGAGACTTGACAGCTTAGCTAGCTGGTTTGTTTTCTGCTACTCATCAGGTCACTGGCTCTATCCACATATTCCTAGTCTGATTCCTAAACATAGTGATTCTCATATTTTGTATGTGGTTACTGTAGTTTCTCACTATCAGAGGAGTTTTCTCTTCCATGGGGGTGTTTTCATGGTGCATTATGTCAATATGAACCTCTAACCAAGTCCTTCCCTATCCGGTGCTTGGYCCTGATAGTTACACTGTCAGAAGTGGACCAGGGAGGCTGTATGCTGTGTATTTGCCTCATGGGAGGAAGCATCTGCTCTAATATTGTTCATGGACTAGTAAGCAATGTCATGTGGTCCAGGACATTAATTACTTTATATATCTTAATTTCTCTGAGAATATGCACAACTTTTCCTTTTGTCTTCATTGTCTGAAGGCATGTGATCTCAAACATTTAACAAATAACTGTTTTTTATTTTTATGACATTGCCAGTATATTATCCAGTCTGACTCACATTTATTGCTTGTCTCTTCTTTGTTTTTTACTGTTCACATACATTTTTCTAGCATTAGTTGAAATCCTTCCCTAAGTGTAATGAAAAATTTCATGTTTGCATGGTCTTAACCTTACCTGCCTGTTTTGAATGAATAAAGACAATTGTTTTTATGACCACCTGATACATGTAGTTATCTATTTTGAATCTCATGTTGTATTTACATTTGGTTTAAGTGAGAATTATTTCAGTATTTTAGAGAATTAAAAAAAGAAAACGTTCAAAGATGTAGGGATAAAATTTTTATTGCCACTTCATTGGAACTTAAACTCCATCTCACAAATGGCCAACTAAGTCTATGTGAGAAAGCCCTTCAAAACATTCTGAATGTCAAATGTGGGACCTGAGAGAAATCAGTGAATGGAACTGTAATGGCCCCTCTCAGAATAAATAAAACCCAATTTTCTGGTAATTTGTGGGGTGTCAGTTTTCTCATGTTGAGAGTAGAAAAAAAACCCATAAACATAAAGATAAAATAAATTAGGGTTGCCTTCATTTACTGTTCATGTAATAAGAGTGATATATATATATATATTATTTGTCTCTGAAAGGCAGCAAAGGTCCATACCTCCCAGGTCCTCAAGGGAAGATCGTGTCCAACCATCATTTTATTCTTTCATTTGAAAAAAAAAAAACCTGTATTTCACACACATTGAGACCTATGTGTATTGTTGTGATGAAAGGTAGGTAGCATTCAGGTGCAACAGCTGTGTGAATGTGACCATGTGGGTCAGGATCAAGGTCTTGGGTCCCCAGATTTCTGACATTTGTGGCAGTTTGTCTTTGTTGATGGAATATAAAGGTAAAAGAGCATGTGATTTTTGTGACTGTGCCTTGAGTGCTCCTTTGAATGTTTCTTTAGCCTGGAATTTAAATGCCCAAGAGGTGAGTAGGGACAACCATGTATGTTCAGGTATAAACTGCCATGTTTGCTGAGAGTCAAAGGAAACACAAGGATATTTGCTGTGGGTGAAAACCTGGTAGAATATAAAAGACACATACCATTCTCTTACATATGTGGGGAATTACAAAAATAACTAGGGGATTGATAACTCTCAAGGTAGGGTCAAGGGGCTTCCTCTAAAATGAGTGAGGATGATGGGAGGGAAGCAAGCACAGGGGAAATCAGTTAGAGTTCCTGGTGTCACTGTCATCTGCCTATGTCACCATTGATTATATGGAGCCAATCCCATTGCCAAGGAATTCCTCACAGTCGTGGTCAGAATGGGAAATATATTGGAAATGTAATACATGGGAAATATAATATAAATATAAGTAAACATAGTAAAAAGTATATAAAATATGGGAAATATAAATATAAGTAAGCATAATAAAAAGTGTATAAATACCAAATATATATAAATTATAAATAATATGTTTATTATATATAGCATACATAATATAATAAATATAAAAATATATAAATATAAAAATATAGTAAATATGGTGAATATAAAAACTGGGACCAGAAGAATATTTGCAATTATCCCCTATTGAAACATCAGGAGAAGCAGAAAATTAAAGGCAGCATGTTTATTTCTCTTCCTCCAAGGCCTAGTCTCCAAGTCTGAATATTCCTGCATGTTTCTATGTTTTGCTCAGCCCAAAGAAACATATAAAAGATACAGAGAGCTTGATCTGTGCTGCTACCTTCTCTCTGGTATCCTAGACTGAGAATCTCTGCCATCTCTGTACCTCTGACTTCTCATCTCTGCTTCCTCAGATCCGTAAGATCCTCAGGATCAACAGAACCAAGAAAATGCCACCAGAAATAAATCTCTGACCTCTTGTGTGATCATTGGTGTGCAACTGAAAGCTTCTGCATTTGTGCATGAGTTTTGTTTGTGCATTTTTGCATAAATGCTAATTCTGAGTACACGTAGTTTTCTAGTTTTCCAATGTTGTTCTGAAAAACACTTGTTTCATTGTGTGGTTCTATCCCAGAGTGGAACTTTTTCTCTCTTTACTTCCAGGTGCAATGTCCTGAGCTGCTTTCCTCTTCATACCCTGATGTCATGATGTTCTTTTTCACTTCTAGCCCAGAACGATTGAGTTGGCCATCTAGGCACTGAGACTTCAGAAACCATGAGACACAAATAAATTTTCTTCCTCTAAAATTGATCTTTTCAGATMTTTTGCTTGCAATGTTGAAAAAGCTGATTAAAACCTATATTAATGATGATCACACAACTTGATAAATACACTAACATCTTGAATATAATTCTTTGATCAAGTGCACTTTATGGTATATACACTATGTGATAGTAAAGCTGTTTTAAAAACAACACAAAAGTGATTAACAATAACTGATTCTTTTTATTGTTTGTTTGTTGTTACCAGGGATTGAACCTAGAGGTGCTTAAACATTGATCCATATCCCCAGTCCATGTTATTTTTATTTTTTTTAAATTTTGAGACAAACTTTACGAAAATGCTTAGGACCTTAATAAGTTGCTGAGACTAGCTTGGAACTTGCAGCTAATTCTTCTGCCTCAGTCTTTTGAACTGCTGGGAATATAGTCATGAGCCACCATACCTGGCCCAATGATGGACTCTTTCAGGTGGGCTTAAGCTATGAGAGTCAGACCTTGCATGTGCAGTATTCAAGAGTCACCTCTTTTTTATGAGATGGTGAGCCTCTCATGAGGGCAAGGGCAGGTTTTTGTCTCAGTTCCCCATGCATCTGAAGCACTGTGTGAGCACCGAGGCTTTTGTCCCATGTTGAACAGTAATAATTGGCCTCATCCTCCACTTGGAGCCCAGTGATGGTCAGGGTGGCTGTGTTGCCAGAATGGGAGCCAGAGAAGCGATCAGGAATCCCTGAAGGCCTTGTAGTACCAAGCATCACAGTTTTGGGGGCAGAACCTAGAATCTGTTGATACCAGCCTACATAATAAGCTCCAACATTGTTGCTATTTCCAGTGCAGGAGAGAGTGACCTTCTCCCCTTTAGATGCTGACTTTGAAGATTCTTGAATCAACTTAGACTGTGCCTGGGACCCTAGAACAGAGAAAGTAGTAAAATAGAGAGATGAGCCTGGGGTTACTACCTGTGCTTTGTTTACCCCCTGAAAAGAAAAAATGGACCCAAGTTGTTCCACCATCCATTTTGCTTTCCATAGCAAGTCACCTGAATAGAGAGTGAGGAGGGTGAGAAGGAGATGGGCCCAGACCATGGTGGAGATGCTCCAGGATCTGCTTCCCCCACACACAGCTGAGTAGAACTTCCCACAGTCTCTTATTTTGTCACTCATATGAGGACAGAAATGAAAACTTTTATGCAAATCATCACCCTCCCYCTGATACTTCTTAGCCTGAGTGTGGTCTAAGCTGAGTATAGAGTGGTGTCTCTCCTGAGATCCCAGAGGACAGAGCTGCTGGGGCCACAGACCACAGAGCTGGCTTTCCAGCTGAGAACTCCCACAGGCCATCAGGTTCTAGGCTTTCTTCACCTGGGGTGAATGTTCTGGAGTTTCCCAGAGATATCCTGGAAACCAGCATTGCCCTGCCTTATCAGTACCCGCAGAGGGATAGAGTGTTATATCACCTAGTTGTTCCTTATTATGCTGCTGGGTGCTCACTACATTTCAAAGTTCTGGCTTCCTTAGAAGACATATAAGAAGAATGACATCAAACTGTCCTTTGACTGTTCAGATTATTGTGTGATTGGAGCGACAGGTGAGTGATCCTCAGAAGGAACATATCTTGCTCTCAGGCAAAACAGCTGGGGCCATTAAGAACCCCTCCATGACTTCTGCATGAGCCAAATGGAATCTGTTGTCTCCCTCTCTCATCACATACTTCCCCCCACTATGGCAGGCCAGTCTCCTTAGCCCATTTCACTGTCCATCATCCTAGATGGACAGTGTTCATGAATAAAAACACAAAGAAGACTCCTCAAGAAAATTCCTTTCTTATTATAGACAGAAAGTCCTGCTGATCCTATTTTCTTTCACCTGGGGAGGTGATGGAAGGCAAATGTTTCCCAGAAGGCATCTCATAGCCAGAGCCTCAGGGTGGAATCCAGGGCCCATGGTCATAGCCAGAGCCTCAGGGTGGAATCCAGGGCCCATGGTCTCCCTCATCAGATGGGTCATGCACATCAGGGTGGAGTAAAACTTGAGCAGAAGCCCAGAAGGGCTGGCATTGTAAAGAGAGAGAAAAATATTTCCCAGAATTTTTCCCAGTCTGTCTGAGCTCTGTGTCATAGTGTCATATTATTTTTGACTAGTCATCAGATCTTCTGTAGCTCTTACTGTGTGTCTGATAGTTTTCAACTCACATTAAAGATACTAATATCATTATTGCCTCTAGTGACCTAATCCACAACTGATATTGTATGATAATCATATGAATAAACATACATATGCTTATGTATATATCTATACCTATGCATGTACATATGAATATATGATTTTCATTTAGAATTAGTCAATGAAATCATTAGCACAGTATCTCATGGTGAGTCTGATAAACCCAGAGATGCCTGTGCCTTGAATTTTTCCATCATTAAAACCCCAATTCTCTGGAGAATCAGCCACCTCAATGGACTAAGACTTTAGGGGAGGAGCAGAAGGCACTCAAGGATAATTCAGGATGGGTCAACCTGGGACTCTGGAGTCCTCTTCAGGGTATTTTGTTTCACTCTATTTTTTGAAGTCGGGATAAAGGCCACACTGTACTAGGGCATGGAAAGTTATACAGTGAAGGTGTTCTTGATGAGCCATTTCCATAAATCCTTCAGCATATCAAATGCGTAGAGAAAGGGTGAGGAGTTGAAGCCAGACCAGGATAGAGTGTTCCCTGAGTCAACTTCCTGAAATTCCAGAGTATGGACATAGCTACAGCATCTCTGATTCTCTCTCCACTCTTTTGTTGAAAGTGATTCTTATGTGAGTATGTCAATAATTCCTGAGTATCTCCAGCTACATTGAAGTACCAGTATGAGCAGCAGATATTTTAAGGTACAGAGAGTAGAGATTTTTGTTGAGCCTGATGCTGCAGGTCACTGTGCTCAATGAGAGATCACAGCCACATTCACAATGCACCATGGAGGAGATTCCGTTAGCTCAGCATCCCTGATTCCATAGAGAACCACTTCTTCTGAGTCTCCATGAGAAAATATGTCCCCAGAGAGTGTGTTAATTAGATTTCCATTTCTAGTAATTTTCAAATAACTAGAAGAGATAAGGAAAAATGGTACATTCTAGCCTACAGATTCATAGACTTCAGTCCATGTCACTTGAGTCTGCAGTGGCATATGATATCATGGTAGAATGCATAGTGGAGAAGTTCTGTTTACTTCATGGCAGCTCTGAAGCAAAGAAAGAGAGGAGAGTGCCAAAATTCTAACATCCTCTTCAAGGGAACACCCCAAATGATCTAATTTTCTTGGAAAGTCCTCACATCGTAAAAGTTTCACCACCTCCAAGAGCACCTCTTGCTGCAGACCAAGCTTTTAACAATTGGGTTTTTGGAGGAATTTTTTAGATTCAAATGACTAGCATATGAAGAGAATGCAACCCCACTCTTGGAGCTGATAAGTAGGGCTAGATTTGAGGCAGATTGAACCTGTGACTGATGATGTGCTCTCAGATCATACAAGTCTGTGTGTCAGGCCTAGATGCTGCATTGGACACAGCTAGAAGAAAATAGCCGAAAGAAGTGATTTATACCATTGAAAAAAATGTCAAGGTAAGAAGAAGTTATTTGTAATATATGATATTAAGATTTTCTCTAAGGAAAAAGATAAGAGATTGCACATTTATAATTAGTAGAAACTCTATTGGATGTCCCCCAAAATGTTAAGAAATCACCACCTGGTTTAGACTTAGTCTTAAAGAATGCACCTATGAGAGCACAAGTCAGGGAGAAAACAAGGGGAGTTTTAAATCTCATTTCTCCCTTGGTCTGGATCACTGTGCAAGTGCCACTGTTAGTATGAAGCATTAGACAGTAATAATCAGCCTTACTCTCTTGGTGAAGGCCTGAGATGAGTAAAAATCCAGCATTGGCTGAGGCATCTTTAGATCCAGAGAAGAGGCTGGGAACTCCAGAACCCTGGTTCTTATTAGAGTCTAAGTGGTATCTTAGCAGAAACTGGGACTGGTTCTCTGGCTTCTGCTGGTACCAGGTTGTGTGATAGCCAGTAATGATATCACCACTGCTCAGGGTGCAAGAGAGTCTGACAGTTGCTCCAGAATATGCAGAGATGGAGGGCAGCTGAGTCAGCACAGGCTGGGAGAGAGAACCTGTGAACACAGAGAGTCATGGGTAAGCAGTCAAGCACAAAGTTAGAGCTGTTGATAGAGTCTAGCTAGAGGACTGACTTAGGCCAGGGACCTTTTCCTAGATATGTGAGGATTGTCCCTACCTGAGAAGTGACACAATATCAGGAGAAGAAGGGGGACCCTGGCCATGGTGAATACAACCCTTCTGGAGTCCAGACCTGGTGTGGACTGCTCTAGGCCTCTCTTATCCCTTCCCTGTTGACTTAGAGAAGGTGACAATTATGCAAATATATTCCCACCTACAGCCTTTTTATGCACCACTTATTCAGTGTTTGTAGACATGGAGGTGTAGCATTTAGTATCTCCAGAGGGGGTGGTATAACAACAGGGTGCTGGAACAACACAGAACACAAATTCGGATTCCACCCTGAGTTACACTGGATTCACTTTCCTCTGCCACCTTCACCTAAATTTGGGATCTGTGTGGACTTCTCCATCTTTGAGCATACTCTGTTTCCRTAGAAATCATTTTCTATTCCTTCTCTGTCCTATTTTTCTTTTTCATGCATGTTTCCATTAAGACTCCATGCAAGGGCTGGGGCTGTAGCTTAGTGGTAGAGCACCTGCCTTGCTTGTGTGAGGCACTGGGTCCTCAGCACCAAGTAAAAATGAATAAAGATATTGTATAAACAAACAAGCAAACAAACAAAGACTCCATGCCTATTGACAGATGTTATTGTGTTCAGCACTAAGCTCAGCTCTCTATCACTAATACTAATAGTGTCCCTGTTCTTGAGGGGTTTGCTTTTTCAAATGAAAAGCCCACAAGGAAGGAATAAGACAGCGAATGTACAATTTTCCATAAAAGAGAAAGGCAGTCATAGACATGTCACTACCATGGACATTTATAATAAAATTCTTAGAGAATGAACTTTTGTTGATGTGCTATTAAAATGTTTATTTTGTTAAGAGAAAATAGATGTTGTAGGAGGCTCAGTTATTTTGAACTGTTATAAAAATATGCTGTATTATGTGGATTATTAAAAAGAGGATTACACATCTCACAATCTGGAAACTGGGAAACCCAAGGTTGGCAGACTCTGTGTTGGGCAAGGGCCTACTCTATAGACAGCCATGAACAGAAGAGGTGGAGGATCTCTTCAGGGCTTCTTTCATAAGGTCACTAATCCATGCACTCCTCACCTGATCACTTCCCTAGAGCTCCTTGTCTTAATACCTTCATTTAGGAAATTAGGATTCTATTCTATGAATTTTGGGGAGACATGCACATTAGTCCACTTAGGTAGAAGTAAAGGCATGACCAACAGATATAAGGGAATGAGGACACAAAGTCCTGGCCAGGCTGGCCAAGGAATGACACCAGGACTTCGTGGGCCAGGCCAGGCCATGTTCAAAACCCTAATGAAGGAAAGAAAAAAGACATAGGCAAGGTAAGAGTGAGATCCCATCCCCAAACAGGACACCAATGAAAAGGGAGTTCTCTAACTTCTTATGTTCCCAGACTGTGAGGATTCCGGCATCTCTATGAAGAAGGAGGAAAACAAAAAGATCAGAATCCAGGCCATAGTGGGATTCTCATCGGGCCCCATTTCTGCAGTCTGTGTGTTCAGAGAACACTAATCACTTTTATCCTTTCTGCAAGCACAGAAGAATGAGGTGAGCTTCCCGCAAATCTATTGCTTCAATCACAGTTTGAGTCCTTCTTGTGCCCTGAGACTGACTCTTCTTTTGGATGTTGCTCCTTTGAGGGGCTAAATGATAAGAAGTTTGTGGCCTGATACTCTACAGTGTTCCCAGGGAGCATAAGGCAGAAAAATACATTTGGGCATAAGGCTTCTGTTTGTGCAGTTGAGAACACACCCACCAGATCCTACATGTGCTCTGCTACAATACCCTCTGCTGTCTGAGTCAAGGATTCCTCCAGGTTGGCGCTAAGATGCTTGATGCCTCCAGAGAGAAATTTGCCATCTTTACAGCCTTGTCCACAGGCCTCACCCTTGAAGGATCCTAAAAGGGCCTTATCTCTAGTTCATCTCTTCTTCACCTTCATTTGCATACCTCAGTTCTTAGTTCAAAATTATTCCATGTCAGCATGGAAATTTCCAGAATATAATTCCATCATTTTATATGGGCATGGGGCTGGGGTTATTATACTCTTCTCTTGGACAGTCTGTCCTGCATCCAGCATAGATAGAGGAGGTGGCACTAAAGGAAGCTATCTTTTAGATCATCAACATCACTGTCGCTTTGTCCCTCTGACCCCAGGTTTCAAGATGGACTTTGTCCCCTGATTCACTTCTTGTGTTTTTATTTACTTTCATGAAATATGTGTTCAAGGACACCATACAACATGAAGAAGACAGAGAAGCACAATTATTGACAGTGCAACTTTGAGTGCCCTAGTGAACTTTGCTTTCTGAGGTTCCTGAGGAAACTCCAGCTCCTTCTTTGGGTGGAGTCCAGAAAACTAGAAGTTGTGGAGTGAGTTGGAATCAGGGGGTTCAGAGAGGGGGAGGAAGGAGAAAGAGGGAAACATAAAGAAACAGCGGAACTCATTTGAAGGAGTATATGTGGAATGTAGATGACTGAATGGGAAAGTGAAATGACAGTCCTCACTCTGTAACAAACTAGGAGTGCACTTTGTGAGAGCTCCAGGGAGAGAACAGACTTTAGATTCATAAATTTTCAGACATTTAGGGGAAGAAATGCAAGTTTACAAGATGAGTTTTTGTAGTTCCCTGGCAAAAAGACATTTTTCTTAGTTACAAAAGACCATCATAGAGAGTTTGGAGTTCTTGCTGACTGGGTTTACCTGTCTTACCCCCCTAGATCTCTATAAAAATATTTCCCAGATTAGAGTTTTCTGAGCATGTGGGAAGAACTATTAATGTCATACCTTTCTCATGCCCCATGGTGGAAAATTTGAAGAAAAACACCTCACTAGTGGATAAATGGTGTTTTATTTTTTATTTGTTTTAATTAATTACACATGACAGTACAATGATCTTGACATATCATATATTTGAATCAGATGGGGTATAATTTCTCATTTTTCTGAGTGTACAGGTTGCAGAATCACATTGGTAATGCAGATATATATATATATATATATGGCAATAATAATCTCTATTTTAAGAATGTTGTTTTCTGTCCATTCAGACATCAGCCTCTTGAGTGGGTCTACTCCCAAATTTAATTGAATCAACTAGAACTTTCCATACCACCTGGCCGATAGGAAATGTATGTGTATATCTCATAATTTATGAGACCACTGAGATGTATCAAGAATAAACAGTCATTGTCATGTGGCACTTATACATTTTATAATGAAATTTACTTATATTTATTGTGCAAATATAATGTATTAATGAGACAACTAGATAAAGATATTATCTTTCCTACCATGTAAGCATCAAGTGAACATCTCATTTAGTAGTTACTCATCGAGTGCCTTTTACACTTTTGTATCATGAATTTTAGGTGAAATGAGGAAATCATAGTTGTGTCCAGAAAAGTTCAGTGAAGATTAAATAGAAATAGTATATGGAGTATTTATGACTGCACTTGGCTCAAGGATGACTCAGTAAGGTACAGGCCACATTCTGAGTAGACCAATAAGCAATATTTGCCAAAAAAAAAACAAAAACAAATAGTTTGTACTGGTTAGCTCACTAAAGATCCTATTTTATCTAAACACTGGTAAAAGCCAAAATCAATCTCAATGAGATGTTATATTTTACCCATAGTAAGAGCCTTATGCTTTGTAACACTTCCAGTCTTTTTGTTGTCTTCTTCCTCAAGCACCACAAGATCAGGACCAGGTAGCTAGAGGATATGAAAACGTAAGTTGTGGGGATACAGTGGCTTTACTGTCTTCTCACAAATGGCAGGAGATACTAATCCTCATATTTTATTGATCAAATTAGGATTTCCCTGGTAGTGTGAGAGTTGAATAAGAACCTCAAGAGTGCCTGCAGAAATGCTTTAAATTCTGGTCACCTATCTTTCAAAAGGGCTCTTTTCTCAATCACAGCTGCATCTATATGATGAGGTCTGCCAGCTCCAATTCCTCAAGCAAGAGTGCTCTGAGAGTCTATTTTAGTCATCTTTTTAATGGCTGTGACTAAAAGGCCTCATCAGAACAATGTAGAGGAAGAATGTTTATTTTGACTCATAGTTTCAGTGGTCTTGGTCCATATATGTTCAATTTCATAGCTTTAAACCAAAGGTGAGGCAGAAGATCTTGGTGGAAAGCTGATGATCCCAGGCTAATTCCATCTTAAGATTGGGAGCCATCTCATCACAAATTTGTGAAAAGTTCAATTCTCTTTTCCTGTAAAATACTAAGAGTTCTATTTTTTTCTGACTATATTTTGATATTTACACTTATTTGGAATTTCTTCCCAAGCTTTGAACTCACCCATGCCTAACTCTCCCTGATAAGATAACACCTCTCACTGAAACCTCAGTGGTGCCTCATAATTTCTGATGTTGAAATCTGAGTTTACTCCCTACCTTGAAATATTAAGCCACATAGCTCATTAATCTGCTATCTGCTCTTGTATTACATTTGCCAGAACCCTGTTAGCTCTAAGTTTCCTCTTGGGGAACTTGCCTTTTTAAATTTTTTGTTATAATAAGCCCTCTTTCCTTAGGCCAGGGCTGTCCTCTGTCTCTGCATTTGGGTGAGGCAGTTGCTGGTCAGCACTCTTGTGTACACAATACAAGTTTGCTTTAACTAGATGTAAATTTGGGGTCGGTGGTCTTTTCTTTGTGTTATGGGTTCAAGAAAGCCCTGGTAGAGGAAAAAGCAGCTCAGTACAAGGCAATAGGAAGCAAGGAATGCTTTACTCACCACGGACAAAATATAAACCCCAAAGGCATACCCCCCACCCAGGAAATTTCTTCTTTTGGCCACTCTATACCTACCTACAATTACCACCCAGTTAATACATATAAGCAAATTAAAGAATGCTCTGGTTAATTAAGGCTCCCATAGCCCAATCATTTCACCTCTGAGCATTCTTGCATTGTCTAACACATGAGCTTTTGGGGAACACCTCATTTCTAAACCATAGTAGAGTCCCACTAGGCCTGAGTGAGGTCTACAATGACTGGAGGCAGATGAGGCATATGCTCTACCAAGAACATATACTATTGAACAAAAG